CTTGTGGGGCCTCGTAGATCAGGTGGTTGGGAGTTGACTGTATTCAAGCCTTCTCTTTGCTATCGTAAGTTCGAATCCTATCGAGGCCGCCGAGTTTTTCGCAAGTGGATCTTAAAAAAGCCGCACGCATCTGCTTCCATGTTAAAGTTTGTGCTCTTTGCATAAATAGTCACAAAGAAACGGCCCTTTGGACTTTGCTATGTAGTGCCGAGAACTATGGGCAATCAGTGTAGAAGAAAAAACAGAATACGAGAGAGAGGACTGCTTTATTTTGAAAATAACTTTCAAAACTTTCAGCAAAAACGGTTCTCCAGTACACAGTGATTACCATAGAGATTAACAAGTTTTGGACAGGAGGACATGATTATATACGGAGAAAAAAGGACTTTAAGGTGCAAGATCGAGTTTTAGTTTTTGTTTTTCAACATCTTTGCAGGTGAGATACTGGGCTAGAAATGGCAGTATGGAATTTCGATAGGTCGAAGTGCGGCAAGGGATGTGGCGGAAGCATCGACGCATGGGGCGTAAGGATTTCGCAGCCATTAACTCATTATGAAGGGGATGGACGGTGTCATTCAGAATTCGGTCAGCGAATTGCTCCACCGAGTTGAAATGTCGCTGCACGATGATATCAACTAAAAGATGATAGGAAACACCAGCAGCAGAGGCGAGCATTCGAATGACACGTTTAAAAATAATTAGATCTTTTTTAAGTAAAGCTGGAAAAATAACTGGAGAACAATAAAGAATGAGTGGAAGAATACAGCCATCTATGAATCGCCAGATTAAGGACTGGGGTGTGCGATATGAACGTAGACGACGAATGTAATAAACAAGTTTTTGAATTTTTGTTAAAAGGGTTTCCATATGAAGAGAGAAAGAGAGATTTGAGGATAAAGTAACACCTAGGTACCCGAAAAGAAGATACCTCATTGGGAAGAATATCCAAAGGTTCAGGAATGGGAGAGGGTCGCAATCGAAACACACACTGCACTGATTTCTGATTGTTGAGTAGGAGTCCATTATTCGAAGACCATGCGGAGACGTGATCTAAGCCATCCTTTAAAGACTGTAGGTGAGTCAGGTTTTTGAGTGGGTGGCCTACGACCATGTCATCGGCATACTTAACATACAGGCAATCGTTTGGCGATCTCAAATCATTAGTATGTAGGGAGAAAAGATGAGGGGATAAGATGGAACCTCGTAGAACTCCACAATTGTTTGGAAGAATAGAAGATTTTCTCTTTCTCGACTGGACAAACTGAGTGCGAGAGGAAAAATAATCTCTAAGCCAAGAGACAACCCAGCTCGGGGTGTCGCACGCAGCTGCTTTGGTCAGGAGGAGTTGGCGCGGGATAGTTTTGAAGGCGGATGAGTAGTCGAGAAAAGCACATGCATATGCACGGCATCCCTTGTCTAAGTCTCTCAAAGCTGAATGAACAACTAAAGCAACAGCATCCAAGGTGCTACGCTTTGCCTTGTATGCAAATTGTAGAGGATCAGAAAAATTGACGGAGGAGTACTTAAGGGAATCTAATGCAACTCGTTCAGTAAGTTTCAGGAGTGCAGAAGAGCAGGCAATAGGACGGAAAGATTTAGGATCAAAAGTTAAAGATTTTTTAGGGATTGGAGTAATTCTTACTGTACGCCAGGCGTCAGGAATCTTGGACTCTATGAAGGATAGATTAATAAGGTGGGTCAAGACGGGAGCTATCTGCAAACAGCAAGACTTAAGGAGAAAAGGAGAGACACCGTCCGGCCCAGCCGCCGTTGACCCGCGAATCTTTTTGAGATGGTGTTCCACTGTTGTCACAGTCACAGGAGTAAAGTCACATGGTGGTAGGTAAATTTCGTTTGGGCGAGAAGTGGAGTCGTTAGAAGTACAGATAAAATTCCGATTTAAAGAGTTTAAGTCTACGTCAATGGGTTCAAGTATATATACGTATGTGTCCCCCAGAAAAGCTACTCTGGATAATTATGAATGAAGAATTGACGGGCTGAAATAGCCGTTTATGTTTTCTAAACCACTAGTCAGTCAGACAGTTGACAAGAATTACTCCGATTTCGGATATATACACAGGCAGTCGCTAAATAAACACCCCGGAATGGTGTCACAAGTTTACTGCCTGGCGCAGTAGTCCATCGACGAGATCAGGATGGTTCTTTGCATGTCACCCAAATTTCCTATTTGTTCTAGAGAGGCCACGGACAGTCCATTTAAGAGTTACGAAACTTAGGAGTACAAGCTTGCTCGAGCTCCAGTTGCCTTGGTGGTCCTCATCATCTTCATTTTTTCGAGAATGCATACGCGAAGAAACGGCAAGGATCGGGTGAAGGCCCTCAAGCATCTCTGGCATGCAGAGGATACCCACTATCGTTACTTAAGTGGATTTTCGTCCGACACGATTATTTCGGTTTGGTGTTTCGTCGTACAAGGTTGGGTCGTCTGTTGTAGACAGTCTGGTGCATTATCTACAATGAACTCAGCTCAGAGACTTGAGAAGCGATCGCTGTAGACACTTGATGTTTATTTTTTAATTGTCCTCCTTACTTTCGACCACTATATGTCAATGCATTAAAACCTTTCCGCCAAAAACGAATTTACCAATTATCTATACTTATTTTGCCATTCCTCTATGCATACATAGGCCCCACCCGCAAAACCCCTATGACCACCTTTTCCCGTAAGACTGGTTGTGTGTGTGTTTGGGATCCTTAACCCGATCGTTGCCGTTATTATGGAGTCTTTCGGTGTGAATATGACCTTTAATTTTGCCCTACAGACTAGCAATTCTGCAAGCTAGTAAGCTTCTATAAGGAATAACGAATTCCTTATTGCTTGAACTTCGTGCTACTGGTATCCGTTAGAGGAAATCGAAGCATTCGTTCTCAAAAACAAGTGCATTATCATTGCTATTATCGAGGTTATTTCAAAAATGGGCAGTGTACAAACATTTTGTCAAAATCGAAAATTCGCTGGAGCGCAAAAGTTAACAGAAAGATATGCTGAGCGTCCGAATATTTCTTGTGAGCTTTCAAAGATATATACTATGGCATGCCAATGTGGTTCGAGCATGTATGATCGATAACAGCATAAAGAACTATATGAACACGAATTATTGGACAAAATGTTGAAGTGTGCATTTGGCTAGAAAGGGTTACTTGGGTTGTGTTGTAGTATCAATTGCTGTGTAATATATTTGTAAGATAAGTCAGTTGCGCTAAGACGCCGATCTTCGGATGGGTTTTTTCTGGATGTCCGAAGGAACTGCGATCAATTAAAAATGATTGGCTAGGAAATATGTTTTCATTGGTTTTGGTGTCCATGTAAATTCGAACATATTTTAAAGGTAGAGCGCAAAAGTTGTTCATATTGCAGGAAATTTATGCCTTCTTCAAGTTTCGTTCGTAATGGAAAGGTATCATCCAGTTTTAAAAATCGTTTTCAAATTCCCGAGTAGTTTGGAGCCCGACCCCTGTTGTACTTGCGTTTAGGGCTTTCAATCCACCAGCTGTGCACTTTACAAAAAGGGAAAATATCTCTTCTTATATGCTCTCAAGAAAATGCCTTACAGTGCTCACAAAATTTTGTATTAAATATCGGCCGAGTAGCAGACGTCATGAGTGACACTTGAATGGCCATTTACCGGCCTTAAATGAAATCATGATCGCGAATTCCTTTTTAGAGAAAATGACCTCTAACAAGGCGAGACTTTCCACAACGGGAATACGATCAAATAGTGTTTTTTGCATATTTTCTACAAAATATGTCTGAAGCCCTAAGAGCATCGAAAATCAATGGAGAAAATCATACTATTTATGTAGTTGTTTTTTGCTGAGTACAGTTTTTGAGGATGTTTGAAAGAAAGCGCGCTTAAAAGTTGATACATTGGCGTGACTGTAATATCTTCCGATTACACTGCATGATAATCAACATTTCTAATCGTTTACGTATTCCATAATTTTGACTACCATTTCATGAATTATGACAATTACTGTAACGTTTGACGGGATATTATGGATGGAAGAATTGTGCAAATGATATGCCTGATTATGCGCATGCAAACGTCCGTCCAGGAAGTGAATCTAGTCATCAGGCAACAGAAATCTTTCAGAAAATCGCTCATCTTACCTACTTAATCATTGAGACACACGCGAGGTAATTAGCAGCACCTCCTTTTGTGTCTGTTACGAAGTACGAATCTTCGGATCGCCCCTATGAATTTCCCCTCGAGGGCCTATGGAACTATAGCAGAACGCTTTACACTGTAAGGGCACTTTTGAGCGCTATCAAGGCTTTAGTTTGGGGACTTAATCGATCCCCTGAGTCACAGTTTTGGTTGACCCACCTAACCACCAAAACGCCGTTTTCACCGTTCCCTGGCGGTGGCTCCTTTGCAGATGGCCAGCGAGTCCCAAACGGCCGAGTGCAGAAGCATAATATAGAAAGCTAATCCGACTGTGGAGTCTTTTCTGCCCGTCGGTTGGGTTATGAGAAAACTCAGTGGTTAGCTCGTTTTTAATGATACATCTGTTAAAAAACATGCGCTCAGACCGCCCTGCACTACTGCAAACGCATTAAGTTGAGGAATTCTTTGAGATTCAGAGTTTGACTGCCGTCGTCGTCGACTGAAGCGATCAGGTCCTTGATATCCTCCAGCCTGCACGTGACACCACTCCTCTTTAGACCCTCGTACACTTCCTGGGCAGTCAGTTGACCGGAATTGTCAGCATCCATCTCGTGAAATGTCGCCACCCACTGGTCTTGCCTAGAGGGATGGAAGGAGAGGAAAGCTAGTGAGGTCTGAAGTGAACGGTAGTTGTTTATGCAGTGGCACCAAGATTAGACCTCGGACATTCGTTGCGACGAACTAAGAAACAGCGATCTTGTAATCACAAGGTACAGAGGCACTGGGCGTCAGACTGCATTTTTTTCTGAATATTGCAATTTATGGAATGCAGATAAACCTCCTTTTAACCACGACGGTTCTCAAAAAATTTTGTTTATCAAACTACCCTGCGTCTAAGAGCCGTTAACGTGATGCTTTCAGAACTAAATCAGTTAACTTGCAACCGTCCTGCACACGCGAAAACACGTATTTAATGGTAGGGGGTGCTCACCGATCGTTCTTACGGAACGAGTGAGTGCCGTAAGAACGATCTGCGAGCGCCCCCTACCATCGTATAATGCCGATCGATACCGACAGGGCAATGGGCTCGTGGCCCAGTGGTTAGAGGCGCGGACTTCTAACTAACAGGTCGCGGGTTCAAGCCTCGGGTGTTCCACATTTCGGGGTTGGGTATAGCTGGCTGACGACGGCTAATAAGCCAGAAATGGCCATTTTGGTCTCCCTTGTCTTTGTCGGTAATGTCATTCTGCCTATATCACACGTATTTAAATATTAAGAAGGTGAGGGCCCGAAAATGTAAGTTTTAGCAAACACTGGGGAAAATACTTAAAGCAGTAAGTTAATTTGTACGAAGAGCATAATCCCTATTGGGAATCCATTTTATCCCTGGCCGGGTCGTCGGTAACCATTAGTCGGGTTCGTCACCCTTCCTTCTCGTGCGTAGGTGACTGTACACGGTGCTAAGTGACGTAATGAGAATGTAAAGTGCACATGAAGGACCCTCAGACTGTCACTGTCATGTCAGCCTTGAAATTGTCGACCAACGCACACGCTGAGGTCGAAAATCTGCCATCCCAGGTGCTTGTCTAGAAGCACAAACGATATATTGACTACATAACACATGGTGTGTCCCCAACATCGTGCACTATGTCTAAAACGCATTTCGACTCACTTTTCCCAATTATGACGCAAGAATGAACGTTCGCGATGCATGGTCGTACTTATCGAGGGCTGGCAGGTCCTGATGATTGCTAAATGACAAATTTGCACTTCTGGGGCAAAAATCGGGCGTCCTTTCTTTCTGTTTTGTCAGTGGGGCCACATAAAATACCGTCGCCGGTTGGGCCCAGTTGGTAAGCCAGTTCCACAGACGAGCTAGAGGTTATCATGCACTTCCTCCATCTGCGTCTTCGGTTGGCCGTCTCGATGTCCTTAATAAAAGAGCGGGATTTGGGCGAGATAACATTTTGGATGCTTTGGCCTTCAGTTCGTCCAAAAGTCGGACAAGGCAGTTCAGTTAATAGTTAAGGAGGACGGGACCGATGGACTAAGTTCCTGACAAAACCAACAGGTGTCGGAAACGCGACCCTCGGTCTTTGATGCTGCAGTATGTGACCGCCAAAGATCCGATATCTCGTCGGGACTTTTAAACTGATCACCACGGCCTTTGATGAACGAATGTATTCTAAAGTCTCTACTTCAATATGATGAAAAGAGAGTGCTCGCTGACCAGGACAACATATGAGTTGACCATTTCATGAGGTTCCATCAACCTGGAGAGGTTGGTTTTTATGAGCATCCTAACTTACTGGTTTTCTGCAGACTCGAGTTATATTGAAATTTTCCCTTAGACAAAGAAAAGACAAATCTTGGGGCTGAGGTGACTGTAATTGTTCGAAGTAGACCTGATAACTGCAAATGTCGTGCAGTCTTCCTTGTCGTTTGTGTTCTAACCTTAAGCAAAATTTATTGCAAGCTGCCAAAAGGTAATAGGACATCTTCCTGGACGACGTTTTATTTACTAAACTAATAAAATAGGAACATACGTGGATGGTGGCACATCCTTTAGACCGAGGGCGTGTTCATACTCATCCAGGGAAACTTTGCCATCGCCGTCTCCGTCAAACAGGGAGAGGAATTCCTAAACACACCAAAAGATAGTGAGTACCGTAAGGCAAACATTTTGGGCAAACCTAGTTTGTTTGTGAGCATTTACCCACCTACCTCCTAACATGAGCGAATCCATACGAACCCAGAGTCTTCTAATGATATTTATTGGAACGATTGTAATTGGGCAAGATTGTGAAAAACTGTGAGAGCCTCAAAATAAAAAAGCATGTTTCTTCGTTCACTACTGACCTTTTTGTACTTTTGGTGATCACTGGACGCGGAAAACAAGTAGCCCCTTATTAGAAATGGCACTGCGCCAAGTTCCAGGGGCTACCTATTCCATGTCCGTTCTCAGGCGTTAACCTCAATCCTCCTAACTCCAGCTGTAACCCTCTGAAACCTAACGCAAGGACACCTGTAATACGCGAGATACTCATTCTCGTGCCCTACCAATGAAACAAAGGAGACTAACTAAGTCCAGGAAGCGCTGTTGCGGCATGGTCGACGAATTACAACGTCGACACTCAGAACTAGGGTGGCTCATGTAATCCCAAATTTTGCGTTTTTAACTCCCGCTATTGGCTCACGCGATGGACCGTCACATGATGTGGATGTATCAGTAAAAAATGAAGCAAATTAAGGAGAGTTATTATCATTTGTCGGTCGGAAGGCCGAAATGAGCATTCAGTTAAACAATACTAATCAAAATAGCCACAACATCCCTAAGTAGGAAGATTAATGTCAAGGTTGAGAACAAAAGATATTTTGCGTTTCAAATTCGTGGGACTGCTGACTTTCCAGAGGCCTTAGTCGGCTGCCCAAGGATGTGCATAGTTTGCCAACATATTAAGAATGTTCTCTAGTTCAACGTTCGTCTTTTTGTGACCATTTTATGGAAACTAGTATTTGATTGAGAATTACTCAAATATGGGGATGAATTCACATAAAAGTAACTATTTAGAAACTGTAGAATATAAGAGCTCTCACGTATGTCGAGTTTCGTGACTCTTCTTGCAGGGTGTCCCGGTGTTTAAAAGATATTTCAAAAGAGGCAGGGTTTTCGGGACAAATCTCAGTAGTGGCGTGGAAGAATTATGAAAGTGACCTCAAACAACATTTCCACCAGTAGTTCCAAAAACATTAGAGTTTTAAAGAATAGGTTTCTGGATTTTTCAAGATGAAAACTTTTTCTATTTAAAGCGAATTTCTGATTAGCAGTTCTGGATTTCGACGCCTGAGTATATTTCTTTTCCAGAGTTTAATTCGTCTTTTCGGCGTTTTTGAATAACTTTCTGTGAAAATGGTCTCAAACAACATGCCTATTAATAGATCAGAAACACGGCAGTTAAAAAAATACAGGTTTCTGATTTTTTTAGGATGAGAACTGGTCTTTGACATAGTTAATCCCCTATTAGCATTTTTGAATCTTGAACCTGAGTGAATTAATCTTCCAGAGTTAATGTCGTTCCTTCGACGCTTGTAAGTAACTTCCGGGCAAGTGCCAGTTGTGTTTTCTTGTTGACACTTGGGCCACAAACTCTGCTCTCTACTCGTTGTCATCGCGTGGCTGTCGTTAGTGAGGCTAAAAGACGAGGCTTGGATTTAATTTGAGCGTGATGGAAAATCAGCATACTACAGTAGGTGGGCTAACTCATGAAATGTCAACCGAAATTCCGAAATGCGTTTTCGTTTCGAAAAGATTAATTAAGTGGGGTCGTAAAACTAGTTAGCCTGCAACATAATTCCATAATATTTCAGTTAGCTCGGGATGTCGGCTTTTAAATGAATTTCCTTCCGGCTGCATGGAAGAACTACACTCTGTAAAAAATGACTACTTAGTAGCATGCATTTTTTCATTAATTTTTGATGCCTTTAAAGATTCAATTATATTTCATGGAAAACATGCACAAAACTATTCATTTTTTTGCTAATTCGATAGAAAATTACGTTTTCTTCCAATTTTATACTCGAAGGAAGGGTATAATTCGGTTTTCGAAAACTTTTCCAATTCCCTCATAATTTTGAATCCGCTCTACCGTTACACTTGCAATCAGGGTTTCCAAACTACAAACCGTATAATTTCCTCGTACGGAAAACCGCACATTTCTCTGCAATAATAAAGGGGACCATATAAGATTTATAAAATTTAGCCGTGGTTGTGATCCATATTGCTAAATTTGCAAGCCACATTGATAAATGCAGTGACATGAAGATTTATGAACGGGCGTTTCACAGTATTTAAAAGTCCCACAATAAGAAACTTTTTTAAAACCGAACTGTGTCCCCACTTCGATTATAAAATTAGAAGACGTAGTTTTCTACCGAATGAGCGAAAAATGAATGTTTTTATGCATGTTTCCACGAAATATCATTGGACTTTTAGGGGCATCGAAAATCAATGGGAAAAAATCATGCCACATAAGTAGTCATTTTTTACAGAGTGTAGTTTTTGCATGCAGCCGGTAGGAAGTTCATTCGGAGGCCGGGATCCTGAGGTAACTGAAATATTATAGAATTATGTTGCAGGCTGACTAGTTTTACAACCCTACCTAATTAAGCTTTTCGGAATGAAAACACATTTCGGAATTTCTGTTGAAATTTCATGAGTTAGCCCACCTACTGTAAGTAGTACCCAATCATGCAGGAATAAACAGTGAGCGGGTCACTCGAACAGCAGGTAAGCTGGAAGTCATCCACCAGATTCTGTGAGACAGATTCCAAAACTTCCATATTAAGTAGAGGATCTGGGTTTTTACATTTATTATGCTGCACTGACAATTCTGACACCAATTTGTTTGCACAAGTCCCAAATATCTGAAGGAACGCCTTCAAACAGACACTGGAATTATCCAGTTGCATACTGATAGCACCAAGATTATGCGAGTTTAACAGCACATTATGGCTGTGCCCTCCAGCTCCTTGTTTGTCTTGAATTTTCTGTGGGTGACGCAACTGTCCGCCGGTTGCACCTTCATGCTAGATGTGAGGAGTACAGACAGGATGGAAGTGAAATGTGCTTAATAATTACTTGTTAGTTTCCACAGCATGATAACCATGTCAGCGTGGCGACCGATGCATCAAGCCTGCGAGCGAAAAAGCTAACTGGCAAGTTCAGTAAGTTTAGTGGTGAGTTGCTACAATCAGGATGGGGATTAGCAAGGAAGAAGCGCCCTGTTGTTAACGCTGAGAACATGCATCACCCTCTCATAACAAGTCAACCATTCGTACGTCAACGAAATAAGCGACGTCAGCACAATTGCGTGACTGCACGAAATTACCCCTGTGTGCGTCTCCACACAGTCGACGACAAACTGCACAAGTAGGACTGCACTTTTTTTGAGACTCCATTGTTGACTGACCCATTGCGCAATTTCAATTTCGCGAGTCACAGAATGTTTAAGGAGGTCAAAGGCCTTCAGTCGATGTTGCCGGGTTTGTTATTGACAACATTTACGGCGCACTAAGACCTGCTGTTTTGTAAAAAAACAGAAAGCATAGTTCACCGTTAGCGCATAAACGTCTCGGTGCTCCAACCCGTACCGAAATTGGGACGAAAACTCCAGCTGAGACGATTACGGCCTCTGGACTGTTGACTGAGAGTGTTTTGCGAAGCTAGTTATCACCGATTCCTTGAGTGATAGGACTACGCATAGGAGTGCACTGTGGCCTTGGACTCCAACTAAAGCCTAGGCTTCGGAAACAAACCTGCTGTTTTTCGGAGACTCTGGTCAACTATCTACAATTAAAGCATTTAATATGCACAGTGCAGACACAAAGGCAAAAGACTTGCCTAGGTAACTGGACGTAAACTGGGCGATTTTTCTTCCGCTTCTACGTAGAAAATGACGGAGGAAATGGTAGGCTCGAAGGAAGTCGACCCATCTTCAGGCATAAACCAGAAACCAAAGCCTTACATTCTTTACCGTCCGATACAACCTAAAAACACTCTAGCGTTTACCAAAACCTAGTAGTTGTTTTTAAACCACAGTGGATGTGCTAACTCACGAACTGTTAGTTGAGATCCCGAAATGCGTTTCCGACCCGAAAAGATTGCTTAGGCAGGGCTGTAATGTTAATCTCCATGCAGCACAATCCCATAGTAATGCAGTTACTTCAGGCTACCGGCCTTTGAACGAACTTCTTCCCAGACGCCTACAAATCTGCGCACTGTATAAAACGACTATCTAAGTAGTATGCCTTTTTCTCACTGATTTTGCACACCCTTATAAGTTCAATGATATTTCAAAGAAAACGAGCAAAAAATATACATTTTTTTCGTTTGGTAGAAAGTTACGTCTTCTTCAAAGTCTGTATTTAAGGAAGTGTATAATTCGGTTCTAAAAAACTTTTCCAATTCCCCAATAATTTTGAAATCGACCTGCCGTTACATTTACATTGAGGGTTTCCAAACTACAAGCTGTATGTTGTCTGTGTACGGGGAATGATGCACTTCCATACGGTATTAAGGGAAGACTATATAGGGTTCATACAACTTAGCGGTGGATTTAAGCCATATTGTAGATTTTACAAGCAATATTATGACAGGATGTTTTATGAACGGGCAGTTATCGGTCTTAAAAATCTCATGATTAAAAACTTTGTTAAAACTAAATTATACCCCTCCTTCAAGGATAAAATTGGACGAACGTGTACTTTTCTGCTAAATGCGGGGGTGTATTAGCACGGAGGGATGGCGTCATTGAGACCGCTGAAGGTCGGAGAACCGTGACTTCAGCAGCCCCCGGGTCACATGAATGTCACCTCTCGCGAGAATTTTCAGCCCTGTCGAACTACAAAGTGTGGCTGAGCCCGTCGTATGAGTTACGGCAACTGCGGAGTTGGCGTCATTCCTTCCCTCTGCTTTTGCATGCTTGTCAGTCCGCGTCCCGGTTTGTCGTGCAGCTCCTCGGACGCAGTTGGTGTGCCCACAGCTGCCTTATATCCGACAAACTACTTTTAGCGTTTCATACCGTGGCAGCGCCTTTTTCGGCCCCATTGACTGGCGCCTGATGGTTGCTTCTGGTCTGCGTACAGTCCTAATTTCAAATGACGTGAGAAGGCGACTCGCGGCTTTCGCAACGTTCTTAACGTACTCAATAAAATTTGGGGTCGATGAGATTTGGTTCCTTGTCTCGTTTGCGCATGCAGCAGTTGAAAAAGTTTCACGAGTAGCCATTCGTTCTGGACACCTGTTGAAGTTATTGTAGTTTAGGCGATATTGTTTTCCCGTTCACTCAAGTACGTCACTTGTCTTGTCATTAGCAAGTTCCCCACCAGAAACATTTTACGCCATGCTCTCTCTGATGATGAGCTCAAGACGTCAGGCAAATAAAATGATTGCTGCGGTTATCGTGTCTCCTTGATCGCATCTGACCCCTGGAACTTACATTTTCGCTAGTGTCTGTATCAACACCAGCCGCAAAAGTCCTAATACCCAAGTGGAAACCAGGATGAAATGGCTGCAGTGAATTTGTGAAAATTCAGCAGAGTTAGCCTGTCACACGGCTGGCTTGACGGGATCAGAGGATTCATCGGACCTAATAATCATCGACGATGCACAACCACCCTCCGCGGAGGTGGTAACTGACAGTAAAGGTAGTTTTGGAAGCCGCCAAGACGTCGGTAAAGACGAGGAGGTAGGTCTAATAAGGGTCCATCAGCTCAATGTTGACTACTTCGATAAACTGTTTCATGTTCCGCTTAATTTCTTTGTAATATCGTCTTAACAGTAGACTGGTAGCAGCGTTCTCCAAAACGACAGAAAATTAGGCAACTTGTTCCTAATTTATCGTGCTGGAGCTCCTAACTTTACCAATTAAAGCCCACGACGCGTTTTGATCTTGAACGGTGGCGTCAAGCTAAGTATGGCAGAGAACAGAACTTGCGAAATAATAAAAACAACTGTGCCTTGATTTTCCTTACTGCTGTTTTGGAAGATTGAGGAGCTACCTCTGGAACTCTCCAAGCGTAAGGAGACATCTTTGGCCAGCGAATTTGCGATATCTACAATACCTGGATTAAAGCGATCACAATTTTGTGCGGAAGATGTCAACTGGTGGTTAAGTCATAAGCGTTTTGACTGAGAATCAGTTGATTGCGAATTACTTCGCCATGTAATTTGGATACGGAGTGGGTCCTGGAATAAGTAAAATAATTTCAGCACTGACATACATTCCTCCGACATTTGGCCGTTCCTCATTCAGAAGGTATGCTAATCAACATTTTTAGTCCCTCTGTCCACCCTTATCTGGCAATTTTATTTCACCCTCAGACCTCATTGTCAATTCCAGGTATGCCGGCTCCCGGCTGTCGTTTTACACCTGTCTAAAAGTGTTTATTTTCCTAAGCTCGGTTATGTGTTAGCTGGCAATGACGCCTCAAATGCTGTCCTGAGACCAAATATGCAAAAATTTAATGAACCAACGGCCAACTCAAGCAATTTTCCCAAGCGTTATCGTTGCCAGATCCGCAAAAAAGGTCTTGGACGGCTTTTGGCCAAGTGGCCTATTTCTCAGGCATCCCATAGTATTTCCCCTTTCTTCCGAACCTGTGCGTAGTAACGTTTGTGCCCTGTGTTACTTCGGTTAATTTTCCAATGCTATTGTCAAACGGAAAACAATGCTTTTATTTCCGAATCATAGACTATTCTTTTTAATTGAAATCACAATTCTCTTGCTCAGCATGAGGGTCGCATGAATAGACAGTCAATCGAATTCGTGAATTTGAGATAAATATTTGAAGGACTTCACCGATTAAAGTTCAAAAAACGCTGACCCAAGCGCCCTCTCTACCGTGGCCTACGCCAACCTCAAGCGATGACGACATGCCACCTCAAATCCCTAATTACAGTGATGGGTACTCCGTGCACTCAATCCAAGAACATCCCTCAAAGACGCTCTTACTCCCCTCCCCTAGCTCTGAGGACCAAAACCCGCCGACCTCGTCATGCGAGCGGCGTGGAGAAGATGAGTGTTAATGACGTAATAGCCCCTTAGACACCTGTAAACACTGCTAATTTTGAAAATTTTCACTTCTTTGTGTGACTGTACTGGCCTGACGAAGAACTACCGAAAACACGTGTCTTCCAACTTGAATTTTCAAGTGTAACATGGAATGTTTACGGAGCTTAGACTAAAGTTTACCCACAAGGAAGCATTCTTTTGTGCGCAACATGCTAGAGTTGTCATACAGTCGGGAAGTCAAATAGAATTACCGAATAATGATAATCATAATAATGGACAAACGTTCTCGACAAAGGCAGGCGAGAATGGGACGTTGTTAACTTGGCTGCGTCACCAGACAGGTGTGTTTCGACTGCAAGCCCGAAAGACCTGGTGTTGGAGCATGGGCATTTTAGTCATTAAACATCCGGCCAAGAGGTTTGCGAAGGGCAGGATGGAGATGACGGATAACCCGAAAAATGAACATTTCGGTCCCCTTTGCCTTCGTTAGTGACGATTTTTAATGACTAATTGCACATTGCTGTGCCAAAACCTGCCCAGTCTCTAGGTTGATGATCCCGTGTATCATGTCCTGCAGTCAAGAGAGCTCAGCAAGCACAAATCTGATGCGATTCTGTAGACAATATCTGTCTACACAGTAAAACCTGATTTCATAGTTGAAATAGCATAACGTCCGTTCCATTTGGAATTTGTCAATCTACTCAACACTTTAACTGAGTGCAATCCCTGAGGGTTCGGGCATCTTGGAAGGAGATCTGCTTATCGGCATATTATGCACTTCCATTACTCTACATATTCAGCATGTCCGATAGATCAAAAAACTTTGGATCTTGGCAACAATGCTTTCATTTAGTCGGTTCAGTAGCTGTGTCGTGAGAAAAAGTATTTTCATAAGGTACTATCTCGCGCTCCAGGTATCACACTGCTTTAAATGAGGACTGACAACAAGGACTAAATTGGAACCAGTGAAACATGTATTGCGTATTCCTGTTTCCGAATAATAGCCAATTTCACTGCATACTTTCAGAGTTACCGTCAAATTGAGCTGCATCTGGTCATCTTAAGTCTCTCACAAGACGAACTACAAGTAGTAAATACTCCGAAATTTTAAGCTGCCTTTTACTATTTTGGGTCCCACCATCAGAATGTAGTATTATAAAGCTACGAGTTCGTTGTGAATTATTGACATTTAAATTCTTCCCTCGAAGAACACAATTCAATAGTAGGCAGCTGTACAAGCATTAATTACGGTCGTTAATTACCCAAATTCAACTTCCGGTGGCCCACTCTTGATTACGAACGACAAAGGAAACCTTCCATCGCAGATGTCTCTAAAGTTCCTTGGATTATTCGCTCTATGTCAGTATTCCTGGCTGTTCCTAATACGCTGTCTCCAGCCTTACGTAGCGTAAACACCTACGGCGTACATGCGCACTTTTAAACGAAGTGCCAGCCCCAACACAAAATATGTGATAGAAAGGGCCATTAAAACTTCTGTGTGAACAGGGAATTCAGACATACAGAAAACACCTTTTGTAAGGCGGGATAGACCAGTGAATATGAAAGCACTGCCGTGAAAGAGCCTGATGGCATTCACTGAGCTTGTCAGCTCCTGATCCTGACATTGACCTTTCTTGTTTTGGCGTCGGATAGCATTAAAGGATTGCATCTGATATTTGAACCATGCTTTTGAAATGCACTATGTACTCCTCTCTTCTGCCCCATGTCCCCCTCACCTTCGTTCCCGCGGACGTTTTAAAATGGGACCATCACACTCTACTGCACAGACACCCTGTCGGGACGCGAAACAAATGAAAGTTTGCAAAAAACGTGTTTCCATTGGCTTATTAAGGAGTTTGGACTTCAAGGCCTTGCATTACACAAATTGCAGAAGAAGTATCGCAACAAGAGGAAGATACCTTGACTTTATCGGAGGAGAGCCCAGACTGTTTCATGCACGCTTCCAGCTCATCCTTACTGAGATATCCGTCGCCGGACTTGTCCATATCGTAGAATTTGTTGAGCAGTTGCATCTTTTTGCTGGTATCCATTTTCGGTCCCGTACTCACGTTCGCTGCACTGCTCAAAGGTTTTATTGATACGTGTGACAAAGTGCAGCGTCACTAACTGACACAACCAATTACGATCGGAGGTACTTGCACATGCAGACGCAATCTAGGTCCTGATTGGAGGAGAGCAGGTGACTAGGCGGTTACGAGCCGACAGACGTAAACATGCTTAGACACGTGAATGCACAAACCGCAACGGAGCGTGGTTTGTATGCAGTACCCATCCGGTTGTGTTCACTAAACTACAATAGGCCTCGACAGGCGCTAATACCCCCCATCACAAAGGATATGAAGGAGGTGAAATTACCACTTTATCCTATGCCAGAGCGTTTAAAATTCATTTCAGCTGTCGAGAACCGCTAAAATAACTTTCATGTTCCTTGCTTCGTTTAAAAGCTTCAGGTTACTTTATTAAACTTCAGTAGTTATTAGGAACGTGGACGGTCGGGTGAGGTAATTACTACATAAATTGGGCAGAAAATACAGAGCAAGCGAAGGTGAAAGGAAGGATGACAGACTTCAGGTAGACGTACACAGTACCATACACAGGCAGTTGTTCAAATGAATACAGTTTTTATTGTCTGCAAGTGAAAGATATACCTGAATCGACAATTATCCCCGATCACTGAAGTGAGTGAGGAAGACATGCAGTGAAACATAATTCTGCCGTTCACATCCCAACCATGATTGGTATAGAGATAGATTGATCAGAACAAAGACGACTTTACTGTTGACGCAGTTACCGTTGCCAACTCCCCCACCGGAACGGCCGAATAAGTTTCTCATCTTCCCACTGGGAGTGGCAAAGGAAGAATAATTCCAGCTTAGGTTACATAATTTAGTGATCAAGTGTTCGCACGAAAACAAATGCCTCAAAAAGGGGCAACTGTATTCACTCATCCTCTTCTGCCACCGGGCCTCATAACTGCAAGAAATTGTGGCGCACTTGCTAACATAGATCATAGATTCTTCTTGTCTGCATTTTATATCATTGCTTCTGGTTGGTCAACGCCACGTAAAATATATGTATATATTGTTAAGGGACGCTCACCGACTGTTCATACGGAACTCACTCGTTCCGTTGTGCCTTAGGGGCTCGAGAGAGTGAGCCCTTAAGGCACAACGGAACGAGTGAGTTCCCTATGAACAATCGGTGAGCGCCCCCTAACATTGTATATTCCCGATCGAAAACCGACAGGGCAACGGGCTCGTGGCCCGGTGAGTAAAGGCGTTGACTTCGAAACCAACAGGTCGCGAGTTCGAGGCTCGGGTGTTCCACACTTCGGGCTTGGGTATGGCTGTCTGACGACGGCTAATAAGCCAGAAATGGCCATTCCAGTCTCCCTTGTCTTTGTCGGTAATATCATTCTGCCTATATATATATATATATGTACAAGTCAGACAGTCGTGAACGATGACATCCATCGCGTGTCTTGCAGTTGGGCAGAGGCAAGATAATGATTTGTGCTTGAGTTGTTTTATAGTTGCATAGCGGATTGACGTAGCGTGTATCACATTCTCTTACACCTCGCCCTACTGGGCCCGGCGGGTAGACAGAGTTCAGAGGACCAGATGCATGATCGGACGCAGTGGATGGAAAAGTCGAATGGCTTGTTTGCGCGTACAACACATACTTGGTCCGAGCATGCGGGACCAGTGTTTACTAGAAAAAAGGGGGCCTCAGATACCAGGTGATGCCACATAAAGAAGCAATAATTTCAGCCTGACTCTCCTTCCTGAGAGGAGGGCCGAGTTATCCCGTTGTCTGTCAACTCACCAAAATTCGAGTGAGGACTGTTCGAGGAGTACAAGCCCCCGGTTTTGGGTAGGTTACGTTTTCATCATCTACCGGTTTATGATTAATTACTACAAAGAACGACTGAATTCGATCTCGTCTGATGTACGGTTCACGATGGAATACGAAGTGCTGTACAGACTTCTGCTCCGGGTGTCCTCGTCTGCCATCAAATGGAAGGCAAACTGGCGATTTCAGTCTGCTGACTGTCGGGGAACACGCTGCAGCTGTTCTGTTACAACAGCTGAGGCTGCATCATACATGCCCATCACCAAACGGAACGATAAACCTTCTACGAGAGCTCTTCAGTGCCAACGGAGTCGAATAACACAGAGAGATCGGAAAGGTGAGTGTATTCAGTCAAAGTAATAACGGAACATCCCGTACATTAAGGGGTGATGCGAGACCACGGTTGGATCCTCCGCGCCGCTCAGAATAGAAGTAGCTA